CGACAGAGACCTAGAGTCTGCTCACGAGCAGACGTTACGTCTGAGGTCAAAGGTAGATCAGAGAAACTCTTTTTTTTTTTATTTATTGTGTTTTATGTTTTGTAATTTTTTTTTATTTAGTGTGTTTTATGTTTTGTAATTTTTTTTTTCTTTATCAAAGAAACAATAATGCGTCGGTTTTTGATTTCCTCACATCTGAATGATGGACTGATGGTGTGATTTAGGCGGTTCAGTTTGTTGGGCCTCATGACATTTGCACCAATTTATTATTTTGCTCTCGTGTTTAAACTGTGATGTTGTCTATGATCCAGGCCTCATCCAGCCTGCAGACGTCTGCCTTTTCTCAGTACAAGGGAGAGCTGGTCATTTCTCTAAAATATATTACCAACAAAAAGAGGACGCCAGAGAAAAAGAGCAAAGGTGAGAAAAATCGTCAGAAAAGGGAACAGAAAATTTGACTCAAAAAAAAGCAGGAGAAAGCAATAAATATGTTTGATTGTCTTTCACGCACATTTCTGACCATTTGTGTTTCCGTGTCAGGTAAAAAGCCGGAAATTGAGACAGGAGAACTCCATGTTTTAATTAAAGAGGCAAAAAGTTTGACACCAATGAAGACGGGAGACATCTCTGACAGTTTTGTCAAAGGGTGAGATAATGAAGCTGTCACAAAAACTCCTAAACACCTGCAGATGTCTCCCTAAAAATGCATGACCTTCTTCCGCTCTCATCGTGACCTTTGTGTAGATCTGAGTTTTGATCAAATGCACTCCATCTTTGACCCTCTTGCCCACTCTCTCTATTCACTACTCCACTGACAGTAGTAATGAAATCACTGACACTATATATATCTGCTGCCACAGATGTTTGTTTCCATCCAAAACAAAGAGCAGTAAGAAGACTGCAGTGGTGAAAAAGAGTCTGAACCCCCACTACAACCACACCTTTATTTACCCTGACGTGGTTCAGGACCAACTGAAGAACATGTGTCTGGAGCTGACCATCTGGGACAAAGAGAAGCTTCTGAGTCACGAGTTTTTGGGAGGAGTTCGACTCAGCTCTGGGAGAGGTAGAAAGAAAAAAAACCACGTTGTTGCATATGAATGATCTTCACAGAAATGACTGTTTTTTTTCCATGTAAAGATATTTAAAGGATTATTTTGTTAAGATAAATTTCTGATTCTTCATTATCCCACAGGAGCTGTGAAAATAGGAAAAGAGGAAGTGGAAATGAATTCCGTGGGAGAGGAAGTGAGCCTGTGGGAGAAAATGATGCAGTACCCAGACTCGTGGGCAGAGGGCACTCTTCCCCTGAGGTCCTCCATGAAGATGGAGCAGAGTCGGTAAAGAAGAGAAGCCGGGGCCTCGAGATGTGTTTTTGACGTTCGACATTCCCTAAGGCGGAGCGGGTGCGGTCTGAAGAGCGGATGCGATCGATAAATGAAGAAGAGTAACTCCGCTGTTTGGAGTTTAAAATGTGTTATATTTATATCAACTCAAACTTCCTGTGTTTCCTGAGGTCTGCTCCTCCTGCGCTGGTCACCAAACAACACGAACTCTTCACAGTTTTATTGATGAACATTTCAAAACCAGTTGAGACCCCAAAGCTGAAATGTGCACCAAATTATTTTTATGTACAAACCTTTTATAACCACCTATATTCAGTAATATATATAAACATTTTTCTTTTCAATGATACGAAGATATAATCTATTTATATGGCATGAATAAAGTTGATTTTACATTTGCCCAGTTTGTTTGGACTTTTTGTTCCCAAAGTCCTCAACCCTGGCCTTAAATTACCTCCATCTGATGAACACCAGGTGGCAGCAGTGACGCTTCAGCACAAAGGAATCACATTTCGTCCTGATATTAACCATTGACCTGCACTTGCTGGTTAAGCAACATAAAGCAATTCATTACAAACATCTCGAGATTTTGTAAAGATGTTTTCACAACCAAACTACAGTAGTCCTCGGTAAGAGTGACGATTATATTGACCTTGGAGAAACGTGATGTCGGTTGTTATAAGATTCTAGTGTTAACATTTGCTATCGAACCGTACTACCGTGACCAGTTGAAGGCTCTTAGTGCCCGTAGCCGCCTCTGCCTCTCAAAGGTACTCATCTGGCTCATCGCAAAAGTCTTTGTGGAGCTCTAACCTCTCTCGCTCTTCTTCGTCCAGCAGGAAACTGTCAATGTAGGAGAACAGCTGATCGGAGGCTAACGGCGTTATGAAACGTTCTCTGTCCACGCCACGGTTGTCCAGAAGAAGCATGCTGAAATAAGTCCTGGAGATCCGGAACACTTGCCTGCAGAAAAGAGGAGGAAAAGGAAGCAGATACGTAGCTTCAGACTAGCATTTTTCTTCTCGCTGATGAGTGAAGGAATATTTGACCCATGGAGTTGGTGCAGTGCATTTTTCTTCTCACTGATGAGTGAAGGAATATTTGACCCATTGGATATGAGGAGCTTCAGGCTCAGGATCCTAATGTTCTCCACATGTTTATTGTTTTTTCCTATCTTTTTTTTATACGTATAAGTAAGCTCAGTGAAAACAGTGTGGCTGGAGCTGGAAAAAAAATCGCTGAAACGTCAAAGACTTATAATAAGTGAAGAGTTGAGGTTATGACGCAACAAAAAATTTGCTGTTGTGACAAAACTTTTTTTCCCCCGTTGCCCAACGGCACACTGGGAAAAGCGCGCTGAAGTAATGCTCTCCGTGCTGGGTTTCTGGTGTCACTTTCAGTAAAAGCTAGGGAGGAAAAAAAAAAAACCTGATGAGAAAGATTTTTCCAGTCATCGGAAAAAGTGAGCAGATCCACTTCGCCCCTGGACGAACAAATAGAGAGCTGCTCCTTCTTACAAGTGACTTTTAGGGTCTGCAACAGAAGCTTTAACTTTCTCTCAAAGCTGAGACAGATGTTTTTGGTACAACTGAGTTTCACCTTGCACCTTGTTTCCACGTTGTTGCTTTAATGCTGATAATCTCTCTCTCTCTTTCATTATTTTTTTCCATTTTAGACCTCCACTAAGAGAAGACTTTGCTTGTTCAGTTTAAGCACCAATCAGGGTCACTAGGGGGCAGCAACTCACACAGTGGTTTGTACTGATAAAAATATACACGTTGTCAGGTTCTCAATAGTATTTCATTTTCGTGTGAAGGTTTTACCTAAGCCCCTCGATGACTTCGGAGCTTAGATGACTTTCTTTGATGCGGCCTATCTCTTGTTCTCCTGACCCCAGCAGCTCGATCAGGGTCACATGTCTCAGGTCCAGCCCACAGTCTGCTTTCTACGGGAGGCAAAGGTAACTCATCTATCTTTCTTTTTTTTTTTTGTCAGTGGATAAACAATTCCGCAAGATTTCTACTCTACCTGAATCATGATGTTCTGCAGCTGGTAGTCTGCGTCAGTAATGTTTGGAGCAGACAGGATCAGAAGATTCCTCTTCCCGTAGAACTGATCCAGGAGCGCCGAGGCCGTCTTCACATCGTATTTGATCTTCATTGCTGCAGACAACGTCATACACAGTCTGTCAGTTCACTGTACTGTCTGTTGTAAAAAAAATACACCGATTTGTTCAATTTGTAAAACGCGATGTTGAAGCTCATTTTACCTCAGCTCATCACATCACATTGTGTTGTATCATAAACCATCCACCGTATCTTCAGGACTATAAGTCCACACTTTTTTTTTTCATCCTTTGGCTGGGTTTGCGACTTACACTCAGGTGCGACTTATATATTAAAATATATAATTTCTAATGTTTGATGTTTTGACACTGACAGCCACTAGAGGGCGCTCTAGGCTGGTGTACCAGTATCTGCTACTCCTGTACCAATGAAAATTTACATGTTCGTTATTTTCACACTGACAGCCACTAGAGGGCACTCTAACTGACTGGTGCTACTTATACATTATATATTTTAATTTTTCTTCATTATGTATTTTTTGACTGGTGCGACTTACAGTCTGGAAAATTAGTGATTTTCTATGTAAAAAAATGTATTATTATCTATCATTTCCAAATCCTTTTTTCACTGAAGTCATAGACAAACCATATCAAGATGAGGATCAGGACTTACAGACACACTGAGCTGGATCTCCTTCCCAGTTTCTGCTGAACTGACAGACTCGACTGGAAACTCCCATCAGCTCATATCCTCCGTCACATTTATAATCACAGGAGGATCCATAAATGTTTCTGTCTGAGGAGCAGGTCAGGTACCCGTGGAGAGGTGGAGCCAGAGGTGGACATGTCCTCACTGCGGAGACAGTGAAGTTAATTCACTATTTTTTCAGTCTGTAAAACGATAGGATTTTTCTTTTTTTTAATATCTCATTAACGTGGGGACTTGAACAAAAATATTTCGGATGTCTGCACCTTCTACACGGATGAGAAACTTGCAGGCTGCTCTGTTCCGAGCCTGATCGTAAACTTTATATCTGATTACAGTCACTCCTTCGCTGAACTCAGTATCTGGTTCTTGACCCACTAAAATAACTCTGGCCAAGACAAAAGAGAAGAAAAGAAAATATTTTAATTCTAATGTGAAATTACTCACAGAATAAAGTTAAAGAAAGGTCGTGACTTACTGGAGGAACTTATCAGCTGTGTCTGTGGCTACAGGAGGATCCCAGGACACTCTTACCGTCAGTTTTCCAGGCTCTGCCACCTTCAGCCTTGAAGGAGGACACTTGATTTTTGGAGGCTCAGTATCTAGAAAAAAAAGGACCATGGTGAGAAGAGAGGAAACACGTTGGATCCGTGATCAATTCAGGTGTCCAAACAAATATCGGTTGACCGATATTATCGCCATCCCCGGTGATTTTCAAACACGAGCAGGAAGTATTCCCGGGCAGGAACATACCTACACATTCAGGCTGAACTCCACTCCAAGAGCCCCCGCGCTGACAGGTGCGCGAATGTTCGCTTTCAATCCGATAACCAGAGTTACAGGTGAAGTCGCACCTGGAGTCCACCTCAAACCCGTGAGTACAGGCGTATCGGCCGTGATGGATCAGAGGCAGTACTCGACAACGCATCTCTGAAGTGAACATGGTGGGGAAAAAAAGGATCAGGAACAGATATGAATCATCTCAAATTGTTTGCCTTTTTCGTACTAAAAAAAGATATATGGGACAAGTGAGAGGATGTTGGAGGAAGGAAGAAGGAGAAGATTAATGGAGATGAAACAGCCTTAAAGTGATATGGAGGCTAATGATCCACTTTATGTTTTAAATGACTGGGAAAAACAAATAGAAAAAAATGTTTCTGCAGTCTGTAAGCCTCTATCCTCGTTGGTTTTGGTCTCTACTGTTTATTTTATGGTGACGTACTGCGACAGAAAGCCGTTGCGGACCAGCGGCGAGTGGAAAGACACTGGATGGAACTCCGCCCAATCAAGCGATATCCGCGGTCGCAGCTCATCTCACAGCGAGTTCCCAGATGGCTGCTATAGACCCCGCCCCCTCGAGGAGAGCGACATGTTACTTCTCCGTTGGTCAGACCGAGGCTGTGACACCACTGGGGATCTGTATGAATTAGAGTAATCATCAATACATCATCAACTTTTTGTCACCATTATCATCATCATCTTCGTCATCCTCATGGGGAGAGGATCAAGATCGTGTGATTCTTGACGCGACACAGTGGTGGGTTTTTATTTTTCCTGTTGGTAAAACTGTTGGGAGGTGTACAGCTTCAAAGATCAGTAGGTGCTCGGTGCTATCGTATACATCGGAGTGTGTCTGGCTGTGATGAAGCTGTGACTCAAGAGGTTTCATGATCGTATGTTAACGGAAAGTGAACTACTTAATATTTGGACAATGGGTTCAGTCAATTCTAAGTGATTTTGTTTGATTTATTTAATTTATAAGATGTGGGAAAATGTATAATGTTTACATAAATCAGTGTTTGATTTTTTTTTTTTTTTTTTTGTATACATGTTAATGGAAAGTGAACTACTTAATATTTGGACAATGGGTTCAGTCAATTCTAAGTGATTTTGTTTGATTTATTTAATTTATAAGATGTGGGAAAATGTATAATGTTTACATAAATCAGTGTTTGATTTTTTTTTTTTTTTTTTTTTTTTTGTCACCTGTGTTAGCTCAGCTCATGCACCGGCTTGTTCTAATCATTAATGGACATGAATAATACATTGAATAATAATCAGTTCACATCTAGACTCAGGAATTCAGGGGTTACGGCCAAGGGGGCGGGGAGGGTCTTCACATCTACACACAGACTCAGGAATTCAGGGGTCACGGCCAAGGGGGCGGGGAGGGCGAGCGCTGAGAAACTTTACTGCTAAGGTGGCTCAGAACCAGGCGTGGGCAAACTTTTTGACTCACACTGCTAAGGTGGCTAAAAACCAGGCGTGGGCAAACTTTCTGACTCGCCGGCCTGAAATTTGACAGGGGGGCCGGGTCAGGAGCAGATAGATAGAGGGTTCATGTGAACTCGGATAAATGACATGTTAAAGTCATGCATAAAGGATAAAATGCTAAAAATGCTTTTTAGCTTCCTCTACGCCATCTACAGGAAAAATGTGGGCATTGCAGGGAAAAGACAGAACTATAATCACAGTACAAACTGTTGACTTGTTGACTTTTGTAGAAGACAAAAGGGTTAGCAGAGGATAATAGATATTCATTTACTTCATTTCTGCATTTATAAGTATATGTTGCGGTTGGTCGCAGTAAATTACAGTTATATCTGCAGTTTATATTACATAGTAAAGACCCCTTCGATGGGGTAAACTGACCGTTATAGTCCAGCTGAGGAGAAGAGTCTTCTGTATTATCGGCGTAGTCGCTGGTGGAGGCTGCACCTGAACAAAAACAAACATTTAAACCTCAGTCACTTGACTGAAAACATCTAATCCCGTTTCTCTGCTGCTGTTTCCCACTGACATTCCTGACACTCACGCCTGGAATTCTAATCAGTGTATCTTCACAAAAAACACGCATAGCTGGCAGAGGGAGATGTTTTGAGTTTGAAGGGGGTGAAAAAAATTCCCAAGATTTAATTTTTCTCCTAAATAATGGACTAATTTCCTTCAAATCTCCAGGTTAGTTTTTCTCACTTGGCTCTAAGAGTGGAACTAAAAGTGACAAACAGCAGGTTTGCATTAAAGATGACTTGTTTGTTTGAGTTCATGCAGGAAAAAATGACTCTGGGGTTAATAACATTTTTCATATTTCATCATATCATACTCATTTTTTTTAGTCCGCATTGTAACTCCCTCCTCATTTAAGACCTCAGATCCTCGGACAGTTCCAGAAGAATGTGTTGATCTTTGGTTCAGTGCACTTTGACTTTTTAGATCATTTCGTTATACAGAAACCTCTCTGACAAATGACCCGCAAAGTTTAGATTAATGTACGAACACAAAGTAACCCACCCAAAACCCAGGCTTGTTGCACTTTAAAACTATGTTTTGATTAGAACAGCTTCTTCGTATGAGTTTCGTCTGCCAAAGACCGCGGAACTACCCCAGGCTTTACAAACACGTCCCTACAGTGAGACAGAGTGAGTCAGCATTAATCCATTTCTTGGAACAAAGCTTAAATCCTTTTACTCTGCCCACCGCCTCACAGATGAACAGATCTGAGCTTATTATGTATGGAAATTATTCATGAGATAAAAGAAGCACAAGGCTTGAGGGGAAAGTCTTGTGATTGACTGAAGCTGAGCTGTAATAAGGATTCTGGTCATGAAAACAGAGAGCTCTTAAGAAGAACAGAGACTTGGCTGGGATGAACTTCATGCGGACTGGACTGTGGCCAGTTGCATGTTTGGAGATGTTCTTCATTCCTGAAAAAAGTCATGTCTTTGTTTGGATTTTTTACACCTCAAAAATCCAGCACGGCGCCATCTGATACCTTCACTGATCCTCTGTAACTCAGAGCAGAAGCTTTGATTTCAGCGTCACAGATTTTTTTTTTTTCAATAAAAAAATAGAAGTCATTATCATTATCAAGATTCCAAATTATGTTCGAAAAAGCAGTAGAAATTCTCAGACTTAATTGTGGAAATTTAAGATTCAAGTCGGAAATTTCAAAAAAAGAATATACATTATTCATACAGTATAGAAAATACAGTGGAATCTCAAATTATAACTTTTGTTTCCTACATAGAATGTTTTTTTCCCCTGTTTCTCAACTCAGACCTTTTAGATTTTTTTTTGGCAAACATTCTAAGAATGAAGACATCTACGTAGCATAATTCAAGACAATTAGGTCACAAATATAGAACCTGCGAATGTCAGATAATGAAACTCACCTGTGATGAAGAAAACGAAGAAAACAGAAACACTGAAGCTCAGTATTTTCTTTTTCTTCATGATAATCACAGTTATCATCAAACTCAGATGAAAAGCTTCTTAGTAAAAAACAAACGTTGTCTGCAGAGTTTGTTTTGCTAGTTGATCCAATACAAACAGTACAGACGTCCAGAGTAAGAGTGAGGAGAAAGAGACGCAGCTCCTCTTCACACAGGAGGACAAAGACTCCTAAGATTGAAAAAGTTTCCTTAAAAAAAAAAAAAAAAGTTTCCTTTCTTGGTTCTCCGCAGGAGGACGCTGCTGCACGTTTTTCATGTCGTAATTTTGATGCAGCAAAGAAATGGAACAATATTTAAATTTGAGTTGAAATTAATAAAACTCTTATAAGTTAAACTAATTTATGTAACGATATGAATATCTAAGTTTTATTTAACTTATTATTCAAACCCGTAAGCCTTTATTTTACAACAAAAATCATTTTTGGGACCGGTGTAATGAAGAGCTAACGTCTATTCGACAATTATAGGAAATTATAGCACGGGTTTATTTTCTAAACACTACTTTTATTGTATGATTAATTAAAACGAAAACGTTAAGAAAATAAGACTATAAGAACTGAAACTTATAAAAACATAAACATTACAGAGGAACAAGTAGGTGAAAGATAAAAGGATAAGAATGAAATGATGACAGGGGACTGTCAGTGTTTGGAACTTCGTCGCTAACTTCACTGAGGAGAGAACAGAGTACGGTTAATACGGCTGTCACACTTTGTCATGGAGGATATTAAACTCCATTTTTAATTCACACGATAAAAAAAACAAGAACAACGATTAAAAAACAAGACAAGAATGAGAACAAAGAGAAGAGAAGAATCTGTCAAATCTACTCTGGTAGGCCCGGGAAAACCCCAGCATCAGTCTGGGCATTTCGTGCCTCAGTCCAAACTTTATTTACTTTATTTATTTTAGTTTTTAATTACACTTACGTTTGTTTCTGCCCGTTCTGTTAATGTTCTGTCGTCGTGAAGTTTTTGAAGTTGTTTTTATATATATTTTTTTTTTAACTTGCGTTCGCTATCCAACAGGGAAACGTGGGTTACGTCACTTCCTCTCTCCTGCTTTTTTTTTTTTTTTTTTTTTTTTCTTTTTTTCTTTCTTCTCTCAATAGTTCAACATCTCTTCTTTCTCCTGTTTCTGCAGTCTGGACTTGAATCTGGATTAAAACTTCATCATGACTCTTCCATCCAGAAGACTACAGACCAAACCTGTCATTACGTGTCTGCAGACCTTCCTCATCTCCTACAGCCTCATCTTCTGGGTCAGTTTGGTAGTTTTTATTTATTTATTTATTTAATCCCGGTCAGATTAATTGACACAGATTAAGTGATCACAGGTTAACGGTCGCATCAAACACACACGTATACGGTTTGAATTTACGACCGTTGCATTGTTTTGGGGGTTCCTGTGTTGTTGGTTGAGTTTTTTTCAGGAAACTAATGTTTTTAACGAGAAAATAAGTCGTCATAAATGCGACGTGTCACCAAAAGTGACGAAAACAAAGTTGTAGCTGTTTTTTTAGCACCTGATCATGCGTGGTTATTTCATTAATAATACTTGTCCCACTGTCTGCTTCTACGGGGATTGTTTTTACCCACTTGCAATTCAAGGTGAATTTGCAAATACTCCGTTTTGAAACGTTTTATATCAAAGTGAAAACATGGCTGCCAACACACTCGCTCTCTCTCTCACTCTCTCTCTCTCTCTCTCACTCGCACACACACACACACCAACACGCGCACACACACTGATTTATTTATTCTTCTCTAACATTAGACCCAGATAAGGATATAATAATTTAAATCAGATTAAGTTTTTTTTCTAATATTGCATAAAAAATCCTAGAACCATGAATAACTTTATTTTAATTTTTTTTAATATTGGTTAATGACTATCCAAAGCAGATAATATTCATAGCAGGGAAGAAATTATACATGAAAGATTCCAAAGTCCAAGTCTATTCAAATTCTCTTCAGGGACGAGGGGAGGGAATGTGGGACGCGTGGTTGTTATGGACTCTGTCTTGTCATTATCTCAGCTGAGTGAACTAATGCTTGAGGCTAATGTTTGTGTTTGTGCATTCGTGTGCACGCCCCGAGAGTGTGAGCGTGCGGAAGAAAAAGTGAGACAGTGAGAGAACTAAGTTGATGAAACAGATCTTGAATTCTTGGAAATCTCCTGCTGTGGTCTTTAAATGTAAAATCAAAGACTAAATTAAACAAAACGTTTGTTTTGTTTAGTTCTTCTAAAGCTTCTGTAGGTTACACGCCCACCATGTCTTTCTCCATGTGCATTGGACAGGTTCTTTCAACATATATGTCAGATAGAAAATCAACAGTGTTGAGCAGACATAGGCAAACTAAGGCCCAGAGGCCTGATGTGGCCCCTACGGACTTTTAATCTATTATCCTCTGTTAACCTTTTTGTCTTCTACAAAAGTCAACAAGTCAACAGTTTGTACTGTGGTTGTATTTCTGCCTTTCCCTGCAATGCCCACATTTTTCCTGTAGATGGCGTAGAGAAAGCTAAAAGCATTTTTTTTTTAGCATTTTAGCCTTTATGCATGACTTTAACATGTCATTTATCCGAGTTCACACGAACCCTCCATCTATCTGGCCCACCAAAATGATGTTATTTATTTATATTATCATTATACTTCTGCCTTTTCCCTGCAATGTCCAGTAGATTGTGTAGAAAAGATGATGTCATTTGTTTATATTATCATTATACTTCTGCCTTTTCCCTGCAATGTCCAGTAGATTGTGTAGAAAAGGCTAATTTTATCCTTTATGCATGACTTTTACTTGTCATTTATCTTAGTTTATCCGAATGCTCCATCAGTCTGCTCCTGACTCGGCCAGCCTGTCAAATTTTAGGACCCGTTTTAGCCTGTGTGTCAAAGGGTTTGCCCACGCCTGCTCTTACCTCTTCTTCTGTCTTTTCCAGGTGACTGGAGTGATCCTACTGGCAGTGGGGATCTGGGGTAAAGTAGGCCTGGAGACCTACATCTCCATGGTGTCTAAGGATAGTGGCAACGCTCTATATGTGCTAATTGGAACCGGAGCTGTCATCATTGTTTTTGGACTGTTTGGTTGCGTAGCTGCGTGTCGCGGCAGTCCATGGATGCTGAAATCGGTGAGTCGGTGAGCAGTTCAGTAGCAGTGTTCCTCGGGATATTGCTATGGCTGGTGTAATTGTTTTTTCTTGGTGTTTCCTCAGTACGCCATGTTTTTGGCCTTAGTCTTCTTGGCTGAACTGGCAGCAGGAATCTCAGGATTTATCTTCAGACACCAGGTAAGTCCCAGGCTTTCCTCAGCAGGCTTCTTCTCATCATACATCCATTTTTAAAAGATCTAAGCAGTACGGGAGAGGTACCAGTAGACTGTAAATCACGGTAGTTTATAAAATGTTTCATAACTGACTCACTATATATTGAAATCTAAGGTATAACCAAGAGTCTCACAAGTCTAAAAAACAGTACAACAAGTAATTAAAACCAAGTCGACAAATCTAATTACCAAGTTCAGAAGTCAATAAACCGACTTCACAAGTATTTAAACCAAGTCTTGGAGCCGAGTTCAGAATTTCTTATAGCAGTGTTTCCCAATCTTTTTTGAGCCACAGCACATAGATTAGAAAAATCCCAATGTGTACCACAAACTTAAACACAATACTGTACATACATACCTACAGGAATTGAAGAAAAACATATATCAAGAGTTTCTTTAACCAATCTGTCTTTCTGTATTTTTTTTTTTTACTTTTTGAAATTTTTAAAATAACAAAATTCTAACATCTTTTTAATTCTACAGATTCAGAATGCCTTTCGTGTTATGTTTGGAAATTCAATGCAGAATTACAATAGCTCTGCAACTGATCTACAGACAATTGTAAGAAACTTCAACCAAAGCTAAAATATTATTATTATTATTATGATCACTGATAATAATAATAATAATAATATTTAAAGCATAATAAAATATAAATGAAACAGAAGCAGTGACATTAATACAGAGCAGCTCTGCAGGCAGCACTTAACAAGTATGAGAACCTAATGTGGACAAGAACCCAGGTCTAAGGAAGTGGCTCTAAACAGGTGAAGCTCAGAGTCATTAAGTTATCAAATATCAAAGGTGTCCAAACGTCATCCAAGAGTCGTCGGATTACTTATTTGACTTCTTAGTAAAAACCTTTTTTTTTTTTTTTTTTTTTAGCATTGTGTCTATATTCCTGGCACATCTGTTGCTAATAAAACGACAAACCAAAAATGTAATTTTTTTCGATTCACCTTATCAATCGGTAGGAGTCGTCTATATTCCTGGCACATCTGTTGCTAATAAAACGACAAACCAAAAATGTAATTTTTTTCGATTCACCTTATCAATCGGTAGGTCGCAAAGATTGGCCTCAGACTTCTGTGACAAAACTCGGCGTTGTAGCTGTTGCTCGGTCCTTAGGCCTGAAGAAAAGGAGCTACCTGTATGAATGCGTTCACTGTAAACTGTCAGACAAGGTGAAGGCTACTGGAAACAAACAAATAATCTGCTATGTTTAAATCCCTCAGATTAAAGATGCTTTTGGCAGCATCCTTACTTCAGCTGTGGATACTGTCAAGTCCAGCAACATTGCCAACTTCCAAAATGTAGTAAGGAATCTCACAGACAGAAGGAAAAAAAAAAAGTTAAACAGAGTAGTGATAAGCACAAATGAGAAAAGAAACTCGTAGGTTAAGAAACAACACACAATGAATGCGGTGTTCTTACTCTGGAAAAAAAAACTGGTGCAGAAATTCACATTAAGATCGTTCGACTTGTTCGTCGTTCGTTCGACAGATCTGCTCACACGTTTCTTTTTTTTTTTTTCGCCATGTTTTAATCCCATAGATTAAATCGTCTTTCGGCAAAGCCTATGACAGCGCTGTGACAAACTACGATGGCAGCGGCAGCGGCGTCTACGTGGACTACATCCAGAGAAGGGTGAGGATCACTTTCACACGCGCACACACTGATGTTTCTGGATCTGAGCGATACAAGTGTGGTTACTATTATCGAGTCACTCGCTTCTCGCTCTCTCCTTTCTTTGGTTCTGTTCAGTTCCACTGCTGCGGGGTCCACAACTACACAGACTGGAAGGACACGAAGTACTTCTCAACACAGGGAATTCCTGCCACTTGTTGTAAAGACCCCATGAATTGTAAACCCGAAACCTTGAAGAACCTGCAACAGGCTGCTGACGAGGTCTATCAGACGGTGAGTGTGGACCGGAGACATTTTCTTTCCTTCACCATCTGAGATAGGAACTCGGTGTCCTCGACCTACGTCGTTTCACGGTCACGTCGCCATCTCCCTTAAGATTTTTTTTTGAAACATTTCGTGAATACATTTCTGTCCCCAAGGGGGCATGACAGAAAGTAATTGAGAACCTCTTCTTTTGTGGTGTCACCTGCAGTGATTCAACTGTAATCCTCTGTTGTACCTTGTGTGTGTGTGTGTTTTCAGGGCTGCTATTTGCAGATGACCCGTACCATTGAAGATAACCTTGGAATTGTAGCTGGAATCGCCTTTGGAATTGCTTTCTTCCAGGTCAGTGACATGATCTTTTCTATGTCAGAATATTCATATATATTTTAATGAAGAACTAACAAACGGGGGGAACACACCGTTTGTCTATTTGAGTTTGGATTAACGTGTGTTTGTTCACAGCTTATCGGCGTTTTCCTGGCTTTTTGTTTGTCTCGAGCGATAACTAACAATCAGTACGAGATGGTCTAACACAGACCTGTTTCCAGGTGAGTCCTTGATTCTACCAAGACCTTTCAATTATTTTGAAATACTTCAGATTAAGTTGTTTTTCCAGCAGAATTCATAAAAAAAAAAAAACAATAAAAGTATTTTGTTCTTTTTTGATTCCAGGTAACAAGCCTCTGCAGAAAACGGACCTCGAAAGACCGCCGGGTGATTTTAATTTGGCGTTTGTGTTTGAAAGTTTATGTTAGTTTTAGGGAAACATCTTTTTTCTGTTTCATTCTTGCCAAAAGGGGAAAAAGAAAATGCTACAGAAAAAGTCAAAGGGAAAAGCTGTGCAGCATCTTGGGACCAAACAAAGAGAGATGAATGTTGAATATTGTTGTCTTTTCATTTAATAGTGATATAGATTAGATGCCTCTTTCCTCTGCCTTATATATTTTTTATGTTTTGTTATATGTAGTTTGTAGCAGATGAAATAAACTGAAAATGTTTCAACTTTAAATACTTCAGTGAAGCCTCAAAATAATGGACAGTAGGCGCTCTCTGTGTGTAAATTTTTCACTATTATTTGGAAAATCCTAGGTCACTCAAGACATCATCTGTTCACTTAACTTCCTTTCACTGTTTTGTTGTATTCAGTCTTTCTTCCACTTTTTTGACGATGCATATAAAAAAATACAGAAAATAAAGATGATATCTTGACAAACGTCTGTGTCTGTGCGACTGTTATAGATCATCAAAAATCCTGAATGGATTTTTTTTTCAATTTAATTTTAATTTTTTTTTTATCTGCTACAGCAAATGTATTTCTGCTGGGACAGGAAATGCTGTCTTCAGTGGGTATCATCATTTTATTAATTTGACCCAATTGAAGAAAATGTGTTTCCTGCAATAAAAGTTTGGATAAATCCTTTAAAAAAAATAAAAAAGGCATCTCATATTATTGTGCTTTAAAGATAAAAGGAACATTTTTGTTTTGATTAGAACAACTGTTAGGCTAGAAACACTGGGAAGGAACGTGAAAAAAAACAAGCATTTAACAAACTAGCTTTGCGTTGTCCAATGACTTGTGGATTTTCCTAAATTACCCTGGGAACAAGACAGAAGAGAACAGGTGTAGGTAATGAGCAGGAATCAATAAAACCACCCGAGCTGCTGCTACTGAAGCTTGAGGATCTGAGGAGTCGAGTTCTGATTTGAAGTGTGGAGAGCATTCCAATCTTTGGTGAGAAAAAAACGTAACTATGTGGTAGTTTATGTGGAATGTATTTGTATTCATAGGAGTCCACATCAATTTAAAGTTGGATGCAACTACTTAAGTACTAAGTACTTAATACTAAGTATACTTAATACTTTAGATGGCATAATTAACTCCATTTTAATGCAATTTGGAGTCGCAGAACTCGTAGCTTCTGAATAATTACACTTTGATATTTTATTAGAAATGATCAAGAGCTCTGCAGTATCATAATCTGTCCACCAGGAGGAAGCGTTTCATGAAGGTAAACTGCAGCAGCCTTGAGCGTAAATGACGTGACATATAAGCGTGACATAAAATCTTAAATGTATAAACGATTATACTTCGATGAAACGTTACTTTACTTTTACTTTCTTCCCCCCCCAGAACGTAACAAGCAATGTTTGACGTCAAATTAAAACCAACGTCAAATCCTGTATTTTGGCAGCGGCCGCCTGTCTATAATTGGCCCACATAGATCAGATGCTGTTTGGTCCCGCCTCTGTCCTCTCCAGCACCAATTAGAGCAGCGGTGTCTGTGGAAGGCGTGACTTTTTGTTTTATGTGCGTGTGTGGTATTTAAGCGGACGTAACGGCAACTGCGTTTGAGGAAATTCAGATTTTCCTTCATTGGTGAATGTGGAGCAGTGCCGGTGTCTTGACAACAACTTGCGACCCAGGAAATAACTCGGGTTTGAAATACGCACAAGGTCAGTTTGCACACGTTAAATTAAATGACTGTTTACACAGGAAAGGCAAGGTTTCAGTGTGCCGTGATGCGAGGCCAATGGGTTCATCATCCGTGTTGGAGTAGTGCCCGGAATTAAATGTTCAACAACGTTCTAATCTCTTTAACTGTCAAGTAATCCGAAAACACGTGGTCAGACTCGGCTAAGTTTACTGTGTTAAATCTTAACATTAACTAATTCTGGGTTGTTGCATTATCGTCATCACGCTATGGTAGAGTTGGTGCGTTCAGGGACCTTTTTTTTGTTTGGTTCAGGGTAGGGAGTAGTCGACGATTTCATCAGCCGTGAAACTGTTAGGCTACAGCTTTCGGATACAGTTTTACTTTTAATGTCATTCCTGTCTTGGCACCGGTTACTTTACGTACCAGTGCGATATCAGTTTTTTTCTTTTAAACGCATGTGTTTAGAAAATTACTTTAAATGTTAGCGCCTCGAAGTAATTAACGTACTTAAGGCTTTATTGACAATGCCCCCTCCCTAAATTTGGTCTAAAAGAAATTATGGTAGGTTTTTTTTTTTTTTTTTTTATATATATATATTTCTTTAGGAAATGATTATCGGTGGCAAAAACATTATACAAAATAAAGTTTGGTTTAAAACCAATTTAAACAAGTGATACATTGTCTTTATCTATGTAATAGAGTTATAGATTTATTATTTGAGTTAAATTGCTCCAAGTTGTTTATAGTTTTAATGGCTGTGAATTGTCAAACTGACTAAATTTTTAGTGTTGTGATTCGTCTTTGGAACTGCCTGAAGAAAGTCCTTTAGTCCTCTGCTAATGTTGCTAATTAAGCCACTTAAATGATGTCCAGGTGATATGTTTCTGCTATTGTTTTTTTTTTTTTTACTTGAACAAAATCTTGTGCTTTTCTTCTCCACTTGCACAATCACTACCCTTATACCTTATTATATTACATTAGCTGTTAACAGCAGCTAATAGCAGGTATATCTACCAATTTTCCTGTTTGCTTTTTTTTTTTTTTTTTTTTTTCAATTTAGATTGTGAAAAATGTAAATTTACTGTTCAGGGAAAAACTTGACATATTGGATTAAATGCTGCTTCTTTCTACGTTTATTTATAAAAGATTTAATTTTTTTTAGTCTAACTTTAACTTTTAGTAGTATTTAGTTAACTATTTTACCAATTTTGGGTGTAACCACTTGGCTGTTCTGACATGCCCTGAAAACAAAATGGCTGAAACTTAACATGTTTGAGATGCAGCATGAATGACAGAAACACAGCTGGACTTTTTTTTTGGGGGTTGTCTTGCATCATGTTTCCCAGGAGTTTACAAATGTCTATTGATTTGGGTGGCGAAGGTTTGTGACTATGGGTCCCCAGGGGGGGGAAAAAAAAGTTTGGGAAACACTGTACTCTAGTTCTAGTTTTGATTTCTAATGATTGTTAGATCACTGCATATTAACACTCACACTTTCCCTCATTCCTCTCCAGAAACCCTCCACATTATCACCTTCACCACTACACAAAATCCAAGCCACGATGATGCAACTCAACAGCGACTCATGCAACAAGCACTCACTCATTAATGTCATGCACCGTTTCATCGCTGCTGCCAACAACATGGACGAGACCATCATGGTTCCCAGTCTTCTGAGGGACCTGCCCTTGGAAGAGGTGGAGGCCAACAACAACAACAAGCAGAGGGACATGTACGAACACTACCAGCTCCTGAAGTCCATCAAGAATGACATGGAGTGGGGTCTCCTGAAGAGGGAGATGAACAGCGGTGGCTTCCTGGAGATGACGGTGAAGCAAGAAGAGCAGCAGGTCCAGGAACAGGTGCTCCCCGACAGCAGCTCAGACCTTGAGCACCAGTTCCACTTCCACCTCAGAGGACTGTTTGGAGTTCTGTCCAAGCTGACCATGCAGGCAGACGACCTGACCAACAGGTATAAGAGGGAGATAGGAGGAGGGACCTTCATCAGATAGAACTGTCCGTCTCCCCTTTTGTTGTCTCCCCCCCTCCCCCTGCTCTGACTTGCCTGACTTGAAAAAGATGGGATTTGTTGGAAGGGTCCTGTCTCTTCTGGAAGACGATGTGAACGGTGACCTGACCAGGGCACGGTCTCAGATATTTTTTTTATTTTTATTTTTTAAGTCCTTTGAAGAAGCACTCCAAACTGTCGTTCGTCCTGATGAAAACTTCTCTGAAGCCAGTGATGCCTGCACTAATCTGAGCCTGGGGGTTTCTGTGCACAGATCGTTGTGTTGGTGGAGGTTTAACCAAGCCTGGATCCAGGTCTGACTCTATTTTTCAGGTTGTCAGTAGAGGTTAATTTGTGTGGTTGTGTAGGTTAAGTGTGGGTGTCGTTGAATGTAGGTTGTTCATCACTATTTTTATTATTATTATTCTTATTAAGCCCTTTTCACTTTATACCAGCACAGTTTTTTTTTATTATTAATGGTGCCTTGACTTTCTCTCCTTGTTCTGTACTCCAGACCCTGTTCAGTCACCTTCACATTGTCTTCACGCTGTAACTGTTCTTCAGGATGTTTGTAATGTTTGTATTGAAAACACATCATTTTCATTACAAACAATTTTTTTTTTTTTTCTTCATTAACTGTCACGATATTTCATCACCAGTTTTATACTGATGCAGAAATGCAGTAGAAGTGAAATAAATAATTCCAAAATTAATATTTCTTGACTGATTTTTTTTTTTTTTTTTTTTTTTTAAAGCACATCCTATAAACAACAGGGTCCAAACTTTAGTCTGAAACTCGTTTGGAGTAAACCAAAATGCGTGATAATTTGCAATGATTTACATTGCCAATATGTAAAGTTTTAGCTGTAGAAGTGTATTTGACTTTATATAATGTAGAGCTTCACACCTGAGACTAACACTGTGCCTCTATGGTGCTGTGCTGTTTGAGATCGTTTTTAATAGTTGATGGTAATATCTAGAAAAACCAGCTACACGTGTATGGCTCCAGCCAATTTTTTTTTTTGGCTGCCAGACAACTACGCAAAAGTGAATCGATTGTGGTTTTAACGTCATAATATGAACAGAACTGCGAAAACCTGGTCCAGTTCGGGTTGTAGGTGAGGTCCATCTGCCTTGTGTAACCTTGTCCAGGGATTACGAGAGGATTAAAATGTAAATCTGGTAAATGGGTCGCCGCTAAGACTGAAGTGGACCGTTTTTCTATAAACCCCTTAACAAAAATGCAAATGTGCTTTAAACAACAAACTGATGTGACCAGGAACTCCGGCTGGTCCTCGTAAACTCGTAGTGAAGGCAAATTTCGTCGTATATTTGGTGATCTGGTTTGGACTGGTCAAACTGAACTAGCTGTCACTTCTGCGGCCATGTGATCGCAAGATTGCGCCAGCTCAGATATTTTCATGCACTGCATTTTATTTGAACTTGAGTTATATTCCTGAGAGTACAGTATTAGACATTTCAGGTGACCCCGTTGGAAATCCAGGGGGAACCCGTGGTTGGGAAAAAGCACTGCAATAGAACACAAAGAAACTCAGGTGATTTCCATAGACAGATGGTTGAGGTGTTATTGAAACACAATAACCAACCGTAAAGTTGATACGACTTGATTTCTCAGAAATAAAAATAAAATCTTAATTTGTCTAAAGTTGCATTTATACCTGCAGTAAGCAAAAAAAAAAAAAACCAATATAAGGTAATAAAGTGAGATAAGGTAAGATAAAATAAAATTGTTATAGCTCTTACGAAGGCTTTATTGCGGAAGCTGGCGTTACTTTTACGTTTGTGAAGACAAAGGACATTTCCCAAAAATTCTCAGGTATTGAGAGGGGGAGCCATATTGTACTGAAGAAAATTGTCCAAAAAAAAAACCAAACTAGGAAGTGCACAAGCTGATTTGTTTGGATTCTCTGAGAGAGAGAGAGAGAGAGAGAGAGCAGGAATCCAGCAACTGCTCCAACTGTTGGAGCATAAAAATAACTGTTTGGAGAAGCATCATCATCATCGTGCAACTTTAAGCAATCGTCGATGAATTTCCAGGAGACCAAATCAGTGTCACAAACTGGTCAAGGTCCTGACTTAAAATCAATACACATAAGGATATTTGTTTAAAAAACGGGAAGTGTTCAGAAAAACATTCCCAGGGTCTGGTTAGATGTTATTTGAGTTCCTTATTTGTGCCGTATCACAGCTGTAAACAT